TGAGAGATGCCGGGGGTCGTAGTATGATAGTGTCCGCGCAATGTACTTGTAACGTAGGATCCAATATCTGTACAATGTATCTTGTGGCAACAAAATACACAGTAGTTCACAGTTCCTAGACTGAAGCGAGCACCGAGCTTGACCGCCCACCAACACTCCACGAACTCTCGGCCCGAGAATCTCACCGAACTCTCGGCCCGAGAATCTCACCAAATCCTCGCCCCGAGGATGTCACCAATCATCGCCCCTAGAATCTCTCCGAACTCTCGCCCCGAGAATCTCACCAATCGTCGGCCCGAGAATCTCACCGAACTCTCGGCCCGAGAATCTCACCGAGCTCCCGCCCGAGAATCTCACCAAATCGTCGGCCCGAGAATCTCACCGAACTCTCGGCCCGAGAATCTCACCGACTCCGGCCCGAGAATCTCACCGACTCTCGCCCGAGAATGTCACCAAATCCTCGCCCGAGGATGTCACCAAATCATCGCCCCTAGAATCTCTCCGAACTCTCGCCCCGAGAATCTCACCAAATCGTCGGCCCGAGAATCTCACCGAACTCTCGGCCCGAGCATATCCTCAAACACTCGGCCCGAGAGGTCCATGTTAGGACTTGGGACAGACAGCATCGCGGGCATTTCATTGCAATTGAGTGTGTACAAACGTGACATCAGGACGAATCTCTAACGCCGTCGAGTGGACGATCTGGTCGCCTTCGTGCTCTTTGCCGACCGCTTTCCCGGCGCCGGCGATGCAGACACGTTCGGCTTGACCCGTTTTGCCCGGGCACCGATGGCGGATGATTTCTCGGGCTCTCCATCCGCTTTCCGCTTTTTCTGCGTGCGGTATGCCATGTCCGACCATAGGTCCGCGATCTCGGTGCAATGTTCCCCCAATTCCTCGACAAAGCGGTAAGTCAGTTGGGATTCGTGCACGTACTGCGGGATTTCCGCCTCCTCGTCACTCCGGTGCTCGGTTTTCTTCTCGACGTCCTTCACAACCATTGCAATGGCCAGTGTGACCATGAGGCCGTCTTCCCGGCCCATCGGAGTGTCGGTGAGGCTTGTGCGGATCCTGGTGAGCCAGGAGCGGAACTGCGTGAGGACACCCTTGTCCGTATGGATACCCGGAGTGCACCTTGCCCGGCGGTACTTCCAACTGGCCCAATCCCACTTCGTCTTGGATTGCCATGCTCCGGTCTCCGGCTGGTCACTGCTCGTCAACACCACGCACCCCAGGCTTCAATTGATACACCCACCAGGTGATGTAGATTGTCTACGAGCTTCGTAACGCCGTCGTCCACGGTTAGCTGCCTGATCCACTGCCGCCTTTCGTCCCAAGTCTTGCCGGCGACGGCCGGGCTATCTTCGTGTGGCTGTGGTCCAGGACGACCCGTGCGCACAGCCGGCGCGTCCTTTGTCTTCTTCGGCTTGACTACATAATGGAAGGATGTCAGATGTGGCACATGCGACACTGACCGTTACTTACCCGGCGTCGGCAGAATGACCACCTCGTTGTCGTCGTCGGCATCGGATTCGGCCGGAGCCTTCCTCTTCCGACTGGGCCCAGCTTCCGGTTTGGCGTCAGGCTGCTTGGCGACCTGGTCGGTTGCTGAATCAGTGGTGGTACGATACCTTGGTTTGGGCTTGACGGGCTTCCGGCTGACAGAGGGCTCGGGGGCAGGCTCGGGCCGGTCACTGGTGGGCTTGACACCCGCCTTTGCCGCCCGGGACTTGCTCGCCGCCGGCTTTGAGGTCGTGTTGCCCGCTGCGTCACCGACTCCGCCGCCCGCTGCGACTGCTGCAGGCTTCCTGAGTCTGCCCGACTGACCTGCCGTGACCGGGCTGTCATTTCCGGATGCCCGACGAGTGGGCTCGGGCTTCGACGGCGCAGTACGTGGAACGATACCCTTCCCTTTGTCCTTTCGGGCTGGCGGTGGTGCGTCCTCATGTGGCGACGCAGGGACCACTTCCTTTTTCTTTCCCTTGTCCTTGCGCTTCGGGGAAGGTTTTACCGGCTGCTCCTCCTCATCTGTACTGAAGTCAGCTTTGAACACCTCGCTGAAGTCCTCCTCTCCATCCGTCTCCACTGCAGATTCCTCATCGCTGGCGACGTCGCCGGGTGACCGCCGGCGACGTGGGCGAGACGGTCCGGGAGTGGCTTGCCGAGGCTTGGGGCGTGGGCGCCTTGCCGGAGGTTTAGGCCTCAGCTCCTGTGGGACGACGATCTCCATCTTGGAGTTCTTCCACGCTCTGAATCGCAGCACGGGACCCTGTGGGTGCTCATTTTGCCTTTCGCGCCAGTGGGTGAGGATGGCGTCAAGGTCCCCGGTGCGCATCTTGTTCGGGTCACTCAGGACGCTGCCGGCAGGGAGGTACTCGGGATCTATGAAGGAGTCGGACAATTCGGACAGCGACTGCCAGGGCACTTTGACTGTTGATCGTCCGGTGAAATTAACTGTGGATGAAATGGCAATCATGGAATGCGTGTCAATACCGGACGCAAACAGAATCGGTGTAGGATCCCGGACACACGCACCATATGTCTTCCGAACAAAGGTCGCCAGAAATTGCCTCTTGAGCTTCGTCTTCTTGAAGCAGTCGTGGTCGGGTTCCGGCATCAGTGGGTACCCATCCTCATCCTCCTCCCAGTCCATATTCTCGATCAGGGATGCTGGGCCGTGATCGGCTTCGTCTTCAAATCCATGCGCATCTGGTCGCTCATGATTCAAGCCTCGTACGCATCGCCCAAGCATTTCACATACCGAAGGCGATGTCAATGTACTTCTTCCACATCCCATACATCAGACCGGTTTTGAACTCGGGCTCGCTCGCAGTGAACTTCGGCACCTTAGGGGCGCCTTCCTCAACAAACATCTCGTCGTTGAAGTCGAACCTGGTTTGATCTTTTAATAACTACACCAATGTGTTAAGGTCGGCACACGTACTCCAACACACCACTGGCCCCGTTATCCATCGGGATCCCCAACAGCAGGAAGCACCTCGCGCCGCACTTCCTCCACATGATCTTCATGAAGTCCCTGATCATGTTGGCACCATGCCTTTCTAGCTGCTTCCGTTGAAGGTCCGCTGGCCAGACCTGGGTGTTCCAATCGGAGGCTACCTGCATGTACTCGGCCTGGTCCTCCGGCGACAGATTGTCGCACAGTTCCTTCAATGCGGTTTGGTAGATGCCCGGGATCCGGCGACTCGCCATTCCCTTGTCTTCTTTCTCCTCCCTTTCCTCGCCCTCGTCGTCATCCTCCTCCTCATCCGACCCATCCTTCCCCCGCTCCCGACCAATCCTAGACATGATCTCCCCGAGCTCATCCTCCCGGTCCCGCGCGGCCACCGTCCTCCACGTTATGTCCTTGCCGAGCTTGAACATCTCCTTCTTCACCTGTTCCTTTGATGCTCTTCGGTTGGAGTACCATTTTTCGACGCGCTACCGGAGGTCATCCCTAACTGTCACATCAAGCATGTAGAATGCGTACCTTGCGTAGAGCTGCATCGAACTGAATCCCCCTCCGCATCTGGAGCCGTTCAATGCTATTCTCGACGAGCTCCTGACGCCGCTGTAGATCCTCGGTACCCTGCTGATAGTCCTCCAGATTGCTGTTGAGGATCACGAGGTCCTGTTCATTCCAGGTGACTTTCCCCATTGCGAGTGCGGTGACGAGGTCAGGGTGCAGCGTAAGCAAGCTGCGATTTCTTGACGAAGATGTTGACGGCAAGAGTTTGGTAGCCTCGGGGTGACCGATTCGGTGACACCCCCCGCCTTGTTCGCCACAACCCTTGGACTCTGAGCTTACATAACGAGATGCACTCGGGTTCACCAAAATTCTACCTTCAATCATAACATTGCATTGATTTCATTATTTCCTAATCACCACAATTCTGTTGTCTTGGCTCCCCGGCCGCGCAGAATGGGTGCGTGCCGGCCGGAGCATCAACGACGAACCCACATTGGATTCCAGCGAGTCACCAAGGTGTGACTTGTTAGCTCTCCAGTTCCATGGTACTCGCCGCATCGCAGATCCCGCTCGCCGCCGGGTCCGGTCACTGACTCCGGTTACCAGGTTAAGACAAGGCCCATCACCGGCCGTCCCGACCGGGAAGCCAGGGCAGGCTGAAACCGATCTGGCTCCAACATAGCATCCACGAAATGCTTCTGGCATCTCGTCTGAGTGGATGAAACCCACTGCCTCGGACACGTGATCCGGTAGCCGGGCCGGACCGTTGTGATCGACATCTTGCCGGCCGCATCATTGTATACGCCAGTGACTAATGTCCGGCCGGGCCATTATGCGCTCTGTTCTCATGAGAACCATCATGGAAATCATGAATGCTCTCTGATTGAGGACACTGCAACAATTAGCGACTCCACGTCGGTGATCCCGGCCCCGGCCGCACCATACCCGGAACACGTGCGGCCGGCCCGCTGCATACTGCTGCACTAGTGGCAATCGCAATGGTTGCAGGAGTTTTGACGTGAGCAATGGCAATACAGAGCTGAACTCTGCTCTTGTCAAACTGCTGAGCTGTTGATTGCTCTGGTAACACCATGGGTCGACTGCGGCCAACGGCAACCTCTCCTGCAGTGGTAGAACTCACACTGACGAAAAGAAGGACTGCAAGGGGAGTGAGGTCACGGCTTGTCGAGGTGCAGAATAGCGGGTTGCAGACTCCGCCGGCTACACCCCATCGAACCGCTCGGTCGACAACAAGACAGTCCAGCTGGACGCCACCAACCGATGATGTTGCCAACACGACTTTCTGCGAGTTCCCCACAGTTCGACAGAGTGCCCCGCAGGTATACCAAGTGCCCATGTTGTATCGTAGACAGAGCCTCACCAATTCAATCAGACACAACCTGAGATGCTCAGAGAGTGGATTCCCCTCCAGCACAACTATCTGCGATCGTTGTACGCCCACTACAAGCCTCCCGCGCTCAGTGCCGAGGGGAGCTATATGTGCTCGAGCTGCAACAGTGGCGGCGGGGTATGGAAGTGCATGTCGTGCATTGGTTATCCAATCTTCTGCCCGACCTGCTGTCTCGCCGAGCACCGGCGAACACCATTCCACCGGGTTGAGCAGTGGAACCTCGGAGGATACTGGGAGCCCTCATGGCTCCGTCAAGTTGGAGTTTCAATAACTCTCGGCCACCGGGGCAGAGAATGCCCCCAGCCGGCGGTTGTCGTGGACGATGACGAGGAAGTGGAGATGGACCGGGCGACCGATCGCGCGGCCGACGATGATGGCGATGTACCAGCGGACCCTCTTCACCACGCCGACTCACCTCCGCGACCCCCGCCCGCAATGATGACTATTGTTGACACCACCGGGGTGCATTTCCTCCCGGTGACGTGGTGCGGCTGTCCCGACGCCGGTGACCACACATCGCAGCTTCTCGATGCCGGGTTGTATCCGGCGAGCCAGCGCAAGGCTCGTACGTGCTTCACCTTTGGGGCACTTGACGGTTTCCTGCTGGACAATCTGGAGTGTAAGACTACCGCCATGAATTACTACGCCCGGATTCGACGGGCCACCAATCCGGCTTTTCCCCATGAAGTACCGGTGAGTGAGTGTCCAGAATACCAGCAAACGCACATGATTGAAATGGAAGTAGGATCGATACCTTGAGCTGCTTAGAGTGAGCCGCGAATGGGCGTTGCTCCAGGCAAAGAAACAGTTTGGATACGGGCCGCAATGGCGAGAGGCCCCGGGCAACGGAGACCTTGCTCACTTTTGCCCGGCATGTCCGCAGCCCGGAGTGAACATACCCGCGGACTGGGAGGTGGATGATAGGAAGTAAGTAGTTACCCTGTTCACCGGTATACGCCAGCTGAACTGTTTTGGAGGTACCTATATGCCCGAGGATATGTCATGGATGGGAACTTCCACGCCGAGCAAATGAAAATGCGCAAGCCCGAGAACGACGTACCGTTGATGCCGGGGAAAATGTTCATGGTTCATCCCGGCCCATACGAGGAGCACCTGAAAGTAGCAAAGGACGTGAAGATGGTGAGGGTGTATTCAGCCGGCGTACGAACGTGTGGCTAACACGTCCACAGCACTCAAGCTGCAACGACCACAAGGCGGTCTCCCAGGCCAACGCCGACCGGCATAAGCTGGCTGTCACCGGGATCGGCGCAACATCTTGTTTGAGGCACGGGTGCTTCCTTCCGCACTCGGTAGTGAACTATCAAAAGGGTGAACGTCAGATGAACATGGACTACTCTCTGTCCAATGCTCTCGGCTACCGCTCGAGAGGTATTGGGCACGTCTATGTATCATACGACATCATGTGCCAGTACCACGTCCATCTCAATGACCGATTTGACGACAATCCTTACCTTCAAATGCCGGGGGGCGTCGTCCTATACAAGTGCATTGGCCTCTTTCACATTCACGGTCACAAGGCGGAGTGCGAGCTCCGGCACTCTCTCACCTTCACCGAGGGGGCCGGGGAAGCTGACGGCGAGATCATCGAAACCCAATGGTCGGGGATCAATCCCGTGTCGGGTAGTACCCGCTCAATGTCAACATCCCACCGGCAGGAAACCCTCGACCGGCACATGAACAATTGGAATTGGAAGAAGATGATCACCATGGGTATGGTCTGGCTGATTGTGGCATGACACATTGGGCTGACGGAGGACAGTGGCTTCGCTGAGAAGAAAAATCAAAGCCAATCGGCCACTGCTGGCCGATATGAAGGCCGACCTCACCGCGAAGGAGGCCAGTGTCGATGCCGAGATTTTGGGAGAGTGGAGAAGGGAACTCAGGATAGTACAACGACGAAGGCTTCGGGATGTGAAGGTAATGGACAGGTATCAAGCGAAGAAACAAATTAGTTGGTACACTCTGCTCTCCATGCCGAGCTCAGGGCTGATTTGGTGACAGTGCCTTCGCGGCTCGAACTTCAGATTAAGCTGGCAGAAGAAGAGGGTGACGGCGGGGACCGCGTTGGCACAGCGGACTGGATTGCCGATGGCCTTAAGCTTGAAGAGCAACAGTCAGTGCTTTGACCGCCTTTTCCGGGTTACTTCTGATCACCCCGCAGACTCGCAATCCAGAAAGACATAAAGCAAATGGGGGCCATTGTGACGGGGGCTCAAGAGTTAAAGCTGGCCAAACGGAGGAAGCCTCTCGAGAGTCAGATCCGGCGGTTCCACCGGCGAGCGGCTGCAATTCACCGAAGGCATGACTGGGGCGTGGCAGAGGAGGAAGCAGTGGATGACGACTCGGCTGCGGAGTGGGAAGAAGATCCCAACGATCCCCCAGCACATGCCGACAATCCATGGTCCATCTTTCCCAGTAAACCGCCCGCACCATACCCAGTGAAGGCGGCGGAACATACGAAACTCGGGCTACCTTCGAATTTCACGCGGAATGCTCTAACCGCCAATGGATTGCAACGTTTGGCCGCGCACGAGCTCACTCTGCGGCGCGGACAAGCAAATGATGCCTTGCAGCAGCTTCGGATTCTCATCGGCAAGAAATCGTTTGAGTTCCAGACAACCATTCGGCACGGGAGGAAAGATGGCAACAAGAAGCGCACCCGATCCTTCACCAAGTTGGGTAAACTCGACCGAGCTGTACAGCTTCAAGCCGCAATCTATCGCCGGGCCCGAGCGGCGATGCAAGTGCTCGGCCTGTCTGCAGAGGATCAAGCTAAATATCAGCAGCTCACCCCAGATGATCTAAAGACAGTAACTGCAATTGCGAGCCCAACAAGGCCGGCCAACGGCACAAATCCCCCTCGTGGATATGGAATGTTAACGTCGGTGGCGACATACGGAGCAATGACGAGTTGGGAATCAGTACGTGAGACGGCGGTGGTACATTGAATAACTCGCTGACATCGCGCATAGTTCACAGGGTACAGTGGTTCCATGCCCGTTCAAAGGTTGACAGATTGGAGGAAGAAGCCGCCATATTGCGCAGGGAGCTTGACTCCGTGTGCCGATACTTTGACCACGAAGCATGCCGGTGGCGAGAACTAGCGACCAATAACACCGATGCCGAGTACCCTGGATTTTCCCAGCACTGCCGAGCACAAGCGGCACTGTTCGATCGCCTGCGTGAAGATGCGAAAGTGGCATGGCGGGATCTGTACCTGGAGCCAAATCTCATGACTTGATAGTATCAAGTGTAGAAGGATACTCAGTCAGTAGCTCGTCGATTGTATTCCCATTGTGTTTACAAAGATGATATGCTATGAGTAATCTACCGAGATTTGAGACGTCATGGTGCCAGCCCCGAGCCCGACAACCTTTGTTAACTCCCGGCCCGAGCACTTCACCAGCCACTCGGCCCTCACGATCTTACAAACCCTCGGACCGAGCCAGCTGCCATACGATCGGGCCGAGCGGTTGTACCCACTCTCGGCCCCAGCAGTACACCAAACACTCGGTCCGAGCAGTGTTCCAAACTCTCGGCCCGAGAAATGTTGCCAACTCTCGGCCCGAGCACTTTCCCGAACTCTCAGCCCGAGCAGTTGTCCGAAGTCTCGGTCCCGGCTCGGTCAACCTGATTTCGGGTTGCAATCTGCATGCTTCATCTTAGAGGGACTGTCAGTGCCATTCAAATGTTCGCATGCATGATGCAATTGACCTCCAAAACCCTCGGCCCGAGCACCTTTCCAAATTCTCGGCCCGAGCACTTTCCCGATATCTCGGCCCGGGCAAGTTTGCGAACTCTCGGCCCGAGCAACTTTCCGAAGTCTCGGGCCGGGCTCGGTCAACCTGATTTCGGGCCTGCCATCTGAATGCATCATCTTAGAGGGACTGTCAGTGCCATTCAAATGTTTGCATGCATGATGCAATTGACCGGGAATGCATGCTACAATGTCTCATGCCCAGTGGAGGGGATTGAGTCGGTTAAGAACAGCAATTGAAAGCATGACAGCAGGAACCAATACGACTACGTTTGTGACGGAAGGCTCAGCACACTAACATCCCATCCCGTGCCTCCACCATATCAAACAGTAACATAATCCTCTCCAGCCTGGCATCAGTCCTGGGCATCTCAGCGGACCATTCGCTGCTCTCGTAGGTGACCGATAGGATGATTTGCCCAAATAGATACCGGTTGATTGAATACGTGTGTGGCCGGTCGGGCACGACTTCGGCATGGCTGAAGAATGATGTTACAATGCTGAGGTCCATCGAACCGTGGGAACCACTCACGGGGTAGACAACGCAAATGCAAGTAGTTCCCACCTGACGACTGGAAATGCTTCACGCCGGAGTGACTGCCCATGTCAGTTAATCATGGCGCTGGAGATAGGTGCGGAGCAATTGGAACTTACCATAACGAACTCCCAAGGAACCGACAGTATGAGCTCAATGCGGAAGTGGAGGATGATGGCGGTGAATTATCCCAGCTACTGCCAAAGCAGGTGACCTGCAAGAAGGCTGCTCTCGGCAATGTGCGACACGTGCCGAGCAGACCATACTCAAGAAGGCAAGTGTCCCAAAGTCCTATCACGTGGGCAGGATCCGAGATCAGTTGATGATAAGGCTTCCATTGCCACTCGCATCTTTTCAACATCAACTGTTGTTCAGTACACTGTACACGTCGTCTTCACCGAACAGCTCAACTACCAATGAACACCATGCTCGCCGAACTCCTCGAGGACAGCAAAACAAACCTCATGATTCCAAAGGCCCTCGAAACTCTGGCCGAGGCGAAGCTCAATCCTGCGACACCCGGCGCGTTCAACAATTTCCTCGTCGGCCTGGTAAGCTAACCCGGTATCACTTGGGAGTTGTGCCTCTAACATAATAATGTAGTCGGTCTCTGCGCTCATGATTGGCCTGCAGGAGTTATTGAAGCCGGAGGTTGCCGCAGCGTATGGTCTCACCGAGGCAATGTCCACTTACTGTGAGATCGTCGCACCCCGGGGAACGGAAGACATGGAAGTTGTCACGAATGTGATCGAGGCAGCATCCGGCGTCGCAAAGGGACAAAGTCCGGTGCCCGGTCCTCTGCCATCCAACGACACGTCTGTGGGAGAGCACGACAGTAAGGAGTTTCAGCCAGAGTACAACTTTCCTTCACGGCTAATTGTGGCCAGTCGAAAGTTCTGTACATAACACCTTCCCCGTGGCCCATGAGAACAATACTCCGGAAGCCGTGTTGGAGGAGCTCAGGGCCAGCCAGACCAACATGGACCAGATCATTGCCGAGCAGCTGAAGGCATCACGAGAACAGTTTCGCCGCCTGGAGCAGCAACTGGACTTGGAAAGGTTGCGGGTAAGATGAATGGATCGCCTTGTGCTTTGACCCAGTTACCCACATCTATGTTTCAGGATGGAGTGACCGTTTCCGCCGAGCAAATTAATCGGGCATATCTGCCCTCCTTCCCCATCCCCCCCTCCCTGAGCCCGGATCGGATGCCGAAGGGGATGCCGAGCGATGTATTGCAGTGGTTCAAGCAACTCGGGATGGCCATGAAGACCATGGACATTTACATCCAGGCGGAGCTTAACTTTTGGTACGCTGCCGCCCGAGCGAATGCCGCCGAGCGGGAGGCCTGGCAGCGCGGGATGACTCCCAGAGCCCCGGCTGTAGCGTCTCATTTTCGGGTCAGTGAGGCTGGTCACCAGTAGTAAAGATTGTGTAGTCCACGGGTCCCCGTCCATGTACCTCCCCACACGGATTGCTTGTAACGAAGACGAGTGCATTTAGCCGAGACGATTCTCGTAATTCCCGGCCCCGGGATGATTAGTGTTGGCCGGTTAATAGGGGCATTCGGTCGCTGACGCGGTGCTCGGCCAGCTGAGAAGTGAGAAGTTGACCATATTGGTTTAAAACGGAATACGTAATTCTACGGACCCCAAGTACCCAATCTACAAAGCCCATTTTCGCGACGCCGACCACAAATCCCAATTCCGAAGCACCTTCACTCCCAAGTGTTCCGCCAACTGACGTCCGCCACCCCTGCCCAACGATGTACATTCCGACGCATAAAGTATGCCACACACAGCCGCTCATCGACAGACTGTGGGACATCATGCGGGAGTCGAGTGCCGGAGAATGCGGTGACCGTGCCACTGTAGTAAGGGAGCCGGAGACCTAGCGTCGGGAACTGGATGATCTGCCCATGATCGCCACCGATCGTCACCAGCATATCATACAGATGCTTCGGGGTCAACTTGTCCCGATGAACTGGGCTTGCTCGGTTCGTAATCACGGAAAGGGCATTGAACGGGTTGTGCCACGAATCCACAATGGTGGCCCGGTCGGGATCACTCCGCAAAGCCTCAATGGAGGCCCTTCCAGCGTCATACAAATCCGGGTGCATGATGCGCAGCATACCGGATACGATGATATGCGGATAAGCCATCTCGTCCAACCACGCGCGACCGGCGGGGGCGGACTTTGGATCTGAGAGCAATCGAGAGACTGCGGGAACATTGTCGGCGCCCTACTGATTTTGAGAACACAAATGGAAAGGTGAATCCGGAGACGTACGTCGTGCCCGAGCTGGAACCACCCCGGCGAGAACGAGACACACGCCGGGTTAAGGTCGTCCCCCTCCTGCGGCTGCCGAAAGTTCTCAATATTTTCCCTCCAGTTCGCACTCAATTTGGGAGGGTTGCGAGCCAGGAGGGGATTGAGACCCATTGTGGCATCCCATATGACTCCCTTGCACAAAGTTAGAGACAGTTCGTGATGGACGTATGTATTCCGGCGTACCCCGAAGACCTCCGTGATCACGCCGGGAAGGTGCCACATCAGCACCCGGCCCTGGCTGTCGGCGATGGTAAGCGGATCGTCGCAATCTTCGTATTGCACTGAGGCCATTTCATCGTCGTTCGGTATGGTGCATGGATGAGTTGATGCATCCCACGGTAAAGTCTCTGTTTGTGAATGAGGGGATGATCGTGGAGACTGACAACTCATCAGTACGTACTGCGATTCCCATATGCCTTGGCTAGCATCTCAGCAGCACGCCTGGCCTGGCGAACTAGATACACGTCGAGGAATAGTCCAGGAAGCGGCGCACACCCGGGGCGCGATGCCGGCGCCGAGAGGAAGTAAAGGTACATCGCCTCCAAATACGAGCAGTACTGGTGGTGGACTTGCGCAACGGTGATCATGCTGGAGAATGAAGCAGAGGAAGAAGGAGCGACAGCGCAACACTCCTGGCAATGCCTGAGGTTTATCAGGATGGCATCACCGCGGAAAACCAGTGTCATGCTTACCTTCTGGCTAGCATGTGGCAGCCTCATGCCCCGGATAAGGTCACGAGGCAATCGCCCGCCCGTAGCATAGATCAATACATCAAATAATTGATGGGAGATGATAACTCTGTCTGCCCATAACCCAAAATAGAATACACGCGGAAAGCGACATCATTGCAGTTCATGGGCAACACATCTTCGGTCGTTCATCAGGAAAAAGTGGGTCTCGGTGGCGGTGGGGCTGAGTCCCGACGCGCGGGTCAATTGGAACCGTCAATTGCCATTACACACGCGAACAAGGGGTGCCTGGCCATGAGGGATTGCGAGTGTGGGCAAGCCCTCTGGCCGACCGGGGCTGGAGAGCGGCCGGAGCGTTGGAGACAAGCAGTGCCCGGCCGGCGGGGGCTCCGGCCGGAGCGTTGGAGACGAGCAGTACCCGGCCGGCGGGGGCTCCGGCCGGATCGTTGCAGCGTTGGCAGGGCACCGGGGCTGGAGAGCGGCCGGAGCGTTGGAGACAAGCAGTACCCGGCCGGCGAGGCCTCCGGCCGGATCGTTGCAGCGTTGGCAGGGCACCGGGGCTGTAGAGCGGCCGGAGCGTTGGAGACAAGCAGTACCCGGCCGGAGAGGCCTCCGGCCGGATCGTTGCAGCGTTGGCGGGGCACCGGGGCTGGAGAGCGGCCGGAGCGTTGGAGACAAGCAGTACCCGGCCGGAGAGGCCTCCGGCCGGATCGTTGCAGCGTTGGCGGGGCACCGGGGCTGGAGAGCGGCCGGAACGTTGGAGATGAGCAGTGCCCGGCCGGAGCGTTGCAGCGTTGGCGGGGCACCGGGGCTGTAGAGCGGCCGGAGCGTTGAAGACGAGCAGTACCCGGCCGGCGAGGCCTCCGGCCGGAACGTTGCAGCGTCGGTGGGGCACCGGGCTGGAGAGCGGCCGGAGCGTTGGAGACGAGCAGTACCCGGCCGGCGGTGGCTCCGGCCGGAACGTTGCAGCGTCGGTGGGGCACCGGGGCTGGAGAGCGGCCGGAACGTTGGAGATGAGCAGTGCCCGGCCGGCGAGGCCTCCGGCCGGAGCGTTGCAGCGTTGGCGGGGCACCTGGGCTGTAGAGCGGCCGGAGCGTTGGAGACGAGCAGTACCCGGCCGGCGAGGCCTCCGGCCGGATCGTTGCAGCGTTGGCGGGGCACCGGGGCTGGAGAGCGGCCGGAGCGTTGGAGACGAGCAGTGCCCGGCCGGCGAGGCCTCCGGCCGCGACGTCTCAGTCGGCCGCTAGAAAGTGTTTGGGCGGGGGCCATGGCCGGCCGCACCTTTGCGAACGTACGTCCCGGCGAAACCGTCTACAACGTTGACCCGGACCCCTCCGGCCGGCGCCGGCCGCACCGTTCCAGACGGCCAGATCTCACTCCGGGTTTACCGTTCGGAACGTCAAATCTTACTCAGTAGGCTCAGCGAGGTCGGTTTGGCGCCGGCCTCCAAGGCCCCTCAACCGGCGGGCGCGCGAGGCCGCCGCCCAAAGTGGTTGAGGAGCGATTTGAGATACATTGACATCAAAAATATCCCACTATGCGAGTTGTCTAGTAATCATACGGCCCTTGAATCCATGCGCCCCTTACATCCCTCTGTTTTAGCATGTCTCGCAAGCGATCACCTGCGGTGGCAGTGGCCCCGGATGTCAATGCGTCCACGCACTTAAGCACCATCCGACGCACTATGTCCTCCGACGCGATCCCAAGGTCTTCGGCATTGGTGCGGAGGTGTTGTACAACGGGATCGGTGTTGGAGATGTGGATCGGAACCTGGGGATAACCGGGGAGGTGGTGGTGGAGGAAGTTTAAGAGAACCGAGTTGCGACCGGTGTCGCTCGCAAAGAAGTTGGGAGATGTGGGGGGATAAGTTGATACCGCCGAGAAGCCCTTCCAAGCCATGACCTGGGACTTAACCAGCTCCCCAGTGAAGGATGTGAGGGCTTGGGGTGATGCATAGGGCGCGGTCACGAAGTCCCGCCCAAGATCGCTCGTGATCTCCTGACAATATATTCAGTATACGTGAATGGCATTGGAAATAGACGCACCAGGCATGGAAACTCCCGTCTTACCCGTCTCAGGTCCCAATGTTGAGCGTCGGCTTGGACTATCTTGTCGAAGTTCCAAGACTGAGCAAGGACCATGTAAGCCCTCGAGGTGCCATGGAGGGCGACCCCGTGCCCTTCAATCTGGTCCACGGCTGGCCTCGGGGTGTGGCGACGTCGCCAATAACCTTCGGGCTGACCTGCCGGGACCAGGGCATTGGGCTTCAATACCCGTCGGAACGTGCTGGTAACCGTCTTCCTCTGCATAATCTCCCACCTCCCCCATTTCTTGCCCATCCCCTTCCTAGACGCATCGTACTTGAAGACCTTGCCCACCATCTCTCCTCGAGGGCCTATTCGCGTTGATGACCGGATCCAGACACCGCGCCAGCTGGCAGATCGAAGCCTGAGACCTTGAATCTTCGCCTCCCTGACGAAGACGAAGATGACCGCAAATGCCGGGTTTGACTGGGTTCGAATCAATTTGGCCATCTGAAACGCCCAGGGAAATTGACATGAACAACATCAACAGTCTCAAACTCACTTTAGCCATTATGTTGGGCGCGGTTTGTGACACGCAGACCTCCAGAACAAAAAATAGGTGAATGGTGGCACCCAGATACATGATGAAAGAGGCGTCCGGGTTGATATAACCGCCCTCGCCGTCTTGAAGGAAGATCGATGTTAACGCCGTCAAGGAAGGAAGGGCGAGAAGGGGAAATACGGCCGCGTTTGCACACGCCGCGGCCTGAACGGGGCGGTATAAATCCAGTAGACATCCCTGGAAGTAAGCCACTAGGGCTTCATGAGTTGGCCCCGGCATACGGAGAGGTAAGAGACAAGTTTGCTCACCAGTGCTATCAGATGGGAACCGACCTGTACCCCGCAAATGCGTGCTTTCCCATCGTAGGCTTCTCAGCTTCCTTTGGTATCTATTACATACATACCTGCCAGTTCCTCTCACCATAATCTAGTGCACGGAGTCAGCCGCCCATCATCCTGCCGTCCATATCAAGCGCGCGTGCAACGCGTTGCACACGGGATGTCGGGCACATGGTATGTTGCGCTGGGCAATAAGTATCGATCACGACCATTATAAACTACACGAACAGGCTCTTCAGACCGACGTACTCGCAATACATGTGAAAACGGAAAAGTCCACCCGGTCCGTAGGGACCAGAAGGGCTGGCGAGGTTGAGCTTGCCGGCCCCCGACCTCAGGCCGAGCAAGCCTCCAGATATCTGCTGCGCCGCTCCTTGAATGAACGATAGTACTTCACCCCCGAGCGTGTCCCACTGTTCCGCCATGGGCGGTTCTGCCGGTTTCTTGGCCCAAGACCAAGGCTTGAGCACATCGAAGTAGTATGTGTCGAGGAACGTGCGTATGAACGATTCGAAGTGGTCGAAGCCGGCAGGGGTTGTTGCATCGGGGCTCATTACACCGAGCCATCTCTGTATAACGCGAAGATTAGTACGCATAGAGAAGCAGTGTCAAGCACGTACCATGAACACCCGAGATCTCTCCCAGTCCTGGAACGTCGCAGCTTCGGTTGCAGTGGCTCTGAACCACTCGAAGTCAGCTTGCTCGCATGAGATCACGCAACATTCGAGTCGAGGAGCACCCTCAAAGCTCCCCGGAACGCATGCTAAGTGGGCCTGATCATTGCGTTCCAGCTCGCCAATGAGAACGAGCAAGAATCCGCGCAGCTTGCGCAGAGATTGGAGAGCTTTGCCAATCTAAGTCAGTGTTGTAAGAAATGATGGTTCGACTCAGACAAACGAGCCACGCACCTTGTGAGCTTGGTACACAAACTCAGCCCGGCTCTGCGCCACGACACAAACGAATATTTCCTGGCCTGGTCTAACCCGGGGTCGATCCACCTGGATCGCGCAGAACCTCGCACATAAGTGGATGTCTGCGTTCTTGACCACCGTTCGGGGAGCTATGCTCGAGCCAACCTTTGACCAGCCCATGCCGCTTAACAACATCGACCTGCTCAACGTCGACAGGATGGAGTAAGTGATATCCTCCGCGAACGTTGGTGCGATCGCCACCGCACGCTCATCCTTGGGCCAGAAGTCAAGACTACGAACTATCAGGCATAAAATATATCATAAAGGCCTGAGCCACTCACGACATGCATCGGAGAAACGAAATCCAGTGTTTGACGACACCCGTGTGCAGGTCCCACTCCCAGCTGGCTTCCAGAACCTTCTGAACGACCCAAAATTCGTGCTCTTCTATCCCCATGATGGTCTGAAGCCAACCGTTAGACATTAACGATGCACACATGTAAAAGTGAACCAGATCTCACTTTGGTCACGAACCCGTCTCGGTTGACTTCCACCCACTCCTTCTGTAGCTCCCAGATTGCATTCAGGATCCTAGAGACCATGGGGCGTAGTTCACTGTCAGGGCATGTTTCCCTCAGCAGGGCCCAGAACTCTTCCGGGATGCCATGCTCGGTGCGAACGCCGCGGGCGTTCATTGGTGCGTGAGCCGGGACCTGCATATCCACGACATGGGGACCCAAGTCCTTGGCTACGGGTGGCTGACTCCGGGGATCATGTTCATCGAATGAGCGTCCAGGAGAATAGAGGGTGACCTGCGAGAGTTGGTGGGGATCGGGCGGTGTGCTAGGCAGAGTATCGACATCGGAGTCGGCTGCGTCAGATTGCAGACTGTTGTCGTCGGCCAGAGAGGAGTGCTCGGAATCGGAGTCAGTGGTGCTCATACTGTCCAGGGAGACATGGCGGTGAAGGGACATGGTGAGTGCGACCGTCAAGGCCTAAGTCAAGGATCGAACTTGTCAGCCACCACCGGGCCATGGGAACAGTCCAAGAGAAACATACATCAACTCCGACACTTCGTCTATTCCAGACCAGCAGCGACTGAATTCAACTCACTGATCATTACAGTAGGACATCACGGTCCAGGCATTTGCGCAAAGGTTGTCCCGAAGTCTTACGCTGGTGGAAATTAGTACTACGCTGGGTACGTCAAGACATCTCGGAATTGGCTTGCGGACTCAAAAAGGCAAGTGTTTACATGGCCCGGGACAACGCTCAGTAGCAACTCAAACGCACAGAGACTGATACTCAAACTCACCCTTCCTGCATACAGAACGAACTCTCGTTCATTATGATACCTATTTGGCGGCATCAACACTCCTAGGGTACCCACCTGGGATCAAGTGAATACCGCCACAATCGTTGTGCAACGCGTTGCACAACTTGAACCCATAAAAGGCAAGTGCCAATACCTCTCGTCCATGGTCAACTAGGCAACTTGGACTGACAGCGGGCAATGTTCTGACTGACCTGTGCGTTGAAAACGTTCCTTTTAGGTAGGGTAACATACTCATGGCATGAGTAGCGGGCTGCTGCGGAATAACTGGTGCGGTAGATCATGTCTGGGAGTGAAAACTAGCTGCGTGCAATGCGTCCCCGCAGATGAGTATGGTAAGTTCCAATGTGACTCTGGTTGATATCTGCGGAACCGAGACTGACATCAGGGAAGTAACCTACTGATCACAGAATCCCTGTCACATCTATGGACAATATTATGTCGAACTTGTGCGGTCCTCGCAATCTTTGAAAGGGAGTGAATTACGCACCGGCCTACGACCTGAGAATGAATCTCAGGAATGAATGGTGGTCTTACTGATCACAGTTAACGAGCGATTCCAGCCCACGGGCACGATACAGAGTTGAGTGCATGAAGCATACGGCCCTGAAGGCACGGTGGGAGTGTTAGCGGGCACTTTACCTCATAACGCGAATCAGACGCCCGCTCCGCTCACTTGAGGGCGCTCCGAAGCTTTTACGAGTTGCCCAACCAACCGAGGAGAACTTGACGCACTCCAGACACTTGTCACCACTCCGAGTCCAGATACTAGGTGCGTTCCCGGCACAAGCTTAAGGTCGGTTTTGGATTTTGACGGACGGACTAAGCTGCAGATTCAACATGAGAGGAAAAGCGAAGACAATTCACATACCGCCCGGAGACGTGGACAACTGCAGCTGTCCAGTCTGTCCCAAAATCTGCAAGTCACCTCAAGGACTCCTGTGTCACCTGCGAACTGCAAGGTCCTGCTCGTGGTATAGACTGGGGAAGAACCCGGAGCCACGATGCGACATCCCAGACGTAGTTGAGGACTCCAGAGAAGATGAGGATGCCTCCGGAGACATGGATGTCGACGTGGAGGACTTCCGCGATATCTTGGAGAGTGGAGACTTGTTCCGATTTACACTCCCGTCAGTAACCAACATGGCGCAAGACCCCGATGAAGGAGGAGGCCCGTCATCTTCCGTCCAGGAAGGGCCCCGGTCTTCGCAGGCCCTACGAATACCAGCACTAGACGATGACGAGGATACGAGAGTTGAGGAAGAGGACGAGCTGGCCGGAAGGGTGATACGTATGGACCCAACAATCGTGGAGACGTGGAAGTCATATTTCGGGGTGGACGGAGAGGAGGAGGACAACCAGATGGATGTGGACGAGGAAAACGGTCAACCAATGGTGGATCCCGGCGGTAAATGGAAGCCTTTCGCATCCGAACTCGATTGGCAGGTGGCGATGTGGGTTATTAGGGAGGATGTTGGGCAGAAATCACTCAATAGATTCCTCTGCATACCGGGCGTAAGTCCTTCTAGTTTCATGCACGCATTATTAACGTCATGATCCTCACCGACTTTGCAGGTGGTTGAGAGGCTTGGTCTTACGTTTAAGGATGCCAGAGAGCTCCTAATCAAGGTGGACGGAATCCCTGATCGGGCCCCGTGGAAGACAGCATCTTTGTGCTTTCCCGACCGGCCTGATGACAAGCATCTGGTACGCTATCGTGATGTTATAGAAGCAATCAAAGCACTGCTCGGAAACCCTTCGTACGCGCATCACATCGTGTACCGGCCTAAGAGAGTCTTCGCGGATGCATCCAAGACGAAGCGAATATTTACCGAGATGTGGACAGGGCTGTGGTGGAACGCTGTACAGGTGAGTCGCCATTCTGTATGTAGAGTACTATGAACCATTCTGACGAGCAAGTAATAGAAGCTAATTCCTCAGGATCACGCCGTTGCACCGGTCATCATCTCCACCGACAAAACTCAACTCACACAGTTCTCCGGCAACAAAGCTGCCTACCCCGTCTACCTCACTCTGGGCAACATCCCTCGAGGTATTCGTCGCAAACCATCCGAGCACGCCTGCATACTGCTTGGGTACCTCCCGGTCACCAAGGTGGGCAAGAAGCAATTGTCAGCTCGGGAACGTAAGGCCCGAGGACAGAGGCTGTTTCACGCGGCCATGCGCGTTATCCTTCAGCCTCTCGTGAGTGCCGGGGTGGACGGAATCGAGGTGACGGCGGGCGACGGCTCAGTTCGCATGGTACACCCCGTCCTCGCATCTTACGTGGCAGACTACCCCGAGCAGTGCCTCGTAGCCTGCTCCAAGTACGGAACATGTCCCAAGTGCATGTGCCCCGCAGACAAGCTGCAAGACGACTCACTCAAGGAACCACGCACCCCCGAGGACACGGAGCGCATTATTCGAGATGCGCATGCTGAGGGACGTAGTGCAGCAGCAGCAGACGCCATCTGCATGGAACAGGAGGTGTGCGGTGGAGTTAAGTCTCCATTCTGGAAAGATTTGCCGTACGCCGACATCCACGCTTCCATCACCCCTGACGTCCTGCACCAACTGTATCAGGGCGTCTTCAAGCACCTGGTATCCTGGTGCGAGGACCTCCTCGGTCCCGAGGAGCTCGACAACCGTCTCCGGTGTCTCCCCGGCGCGTACGGTATACGACACTTCAAAAATGGGATATCGTCCCTCTCTCAGGTGTCGGGAAAGGAACGGAAGGAAATGGCCCGGGTTCTTCTTGGATGTCTCATTGGGAAAGTACCTAGATCCGTCATGCTCACCTTCCGCTCACTTCTCGACTTCATTTACCTTGCGCAGTACCCCACCCATGACGACTCTACCCTCGAATACTTGACGGAAGCTCTGAAGACCTACCACAAGAACAAGGACATCCTGATCAAGCTCGGGATTCGAGACCACCTCAATATTCCGAAGTTTCATTCCCTCGTCCATTACGTGGAATCTATTCGACTCTACGGCACCACAGACAATTACAACACCGAAATGTTCGAGCGCCTCCATATCGACTTCGCAAAGAAGGCCTGGCGGGCATCCAATCACCGCGACGAGTTTCCGCAAATGATGAAGTGGATCACCCGGAGAGAGAAGATGGCTGCTTATGAGGCCTTTCAGAAGGAGTGCCAAGCCATGGAAGAGTTGGACGACTCTGAAGAGGTGGAGGAGGAGGAAGCCATCTTGTCACGGAGAGAAGAGGTGGTGGACGTAGGCAACTCTATCAAAATAGCTAAGTACCCGCCCACACCTGGGCAACATCTCGCTCGCATCCAGGACCTGCACAATGCCCCAGGATTCTCTACGGCATTAACCACCTTCATAAACGACCTACAGCCTCAAGAACTACATCTCAATCGTCGCGAGCTAGCCCGGACTTGGCTTCCCTTCGACCGGCTGGACGTATATCACAAGGTCAGGTTCAAGCCGTGCGAGATATCCGAGGGCAAGGAGGAGTCCGACGTGGTAAAAGCGGTCCCCGGTGCAGCTCGAGAGGGACGGAAGAACAGATTCGACCCTGTCATCGTCCTTGAGAACAATGACGCTGAATCCACAGGTTTAACCGGTGAGTAATTTTATATTGTTTCACGCAAAGACCACGTATTGACCGTCTATGATATCAGGCACGAGAGCGGCCAGAGTAAAAGTCATATTTACTCTGCCTAAGACTGTCTCCGCCTCAAACGGACGCAGCCCTGCGCCGGCCTGGTGGCCCGAAGGTCCTCTCGCATATGTCGAGTGGTACACTCGATTTTCGGGGGCTGCAGACGCAACACACCTCATGTACTCGGTGAGCAAACCGCCGTCAACGGCCGACGGGCTTCCACCAGGAAAGATCGTACCATTCTCGCAAATCAGACAGTCTTGCCAACTCATCCCTTCGTTTCCGGACGGCACAGTTCCAGCGGACTGGACAACGGAAAATACATTGGATAAAGCAAGCAAGATGTACGTGAATAACTGGGCCGGACTCTACGCGTATCAAACCATCTGGTAGTGGTGAGTGTCTCCTATTTTCTACCAGCAATCCACGGTCCCTAACGTGGTCTCAAACGCACAGTACGCAATACCCGGGTTTGCGGCGCTAACGGTGACGCCGTTCGCGGTTCCGTAGGCGCTTATCGGACGACCTTCTCCCAAGCCGTCTCCAGACGCTCCCAAGTCTCACAAGCACTCCCAACTCACTGCGTCTTGCAAACGCGTACTCTCCCCCTCTCATCTGCTCGCAACACCTCGCAATGGCACCCGTCGATCCGCGAGTCAAGGCCATACTCGCGCGGCACCTTCCAGCATTCCGCGACGTCTGTGCGGTAACGGAGCCGTGCCCCCTGCAGCAGGCGGTGAACCACATCACCGTGGTCGGACTGGACGGGCGTAACACAGGCGTCCTGTACAACTACGTACGTACTTCGCTCACTTTGAATTGTCACCGCTAATTGGGCAATCCAGTGCCCTGTTGACGAAGGAACAAACGCCTGCTTCACCACGATCAGCACGATCCAAGCCGATCCGCAACGCGTAATCGCTGGCCAACGGCACATCAGAGCCCTGAACCCGCCGGCGTTGCAAGATCGCTGGTTACTCATGGGCGGTGACCGCGAATGGAGCGACTTTTGGGTGCCGGAGTGTCTGGAGAGGAGTGAGGCAACTGCCGTGGTGGAGGCGGTTGTGTTTTACAAGGTGCGTAACCCGCTGTATCTCTATCTACTACCCCCACAAACCGTCCTATAGGACGGTGTAGATCCGCTGCTTCTTCCTCTCCTGTGTCGCGTCCATGACACGGAGATCGAAGTGCCGATCGTGCAGCCGATCACCCAGCAGGCCCTGCCCGACCTCAACTACTGGCAGAACCCGTTGGGCGTCGCGTTCTACGACGTTTACGACGTGAGTCAGCAAAGTTTTGTGCCGCCTCACCTTGCCCGCCATCCCGTTCGCTATCCCCTACCCCTCCGTCAATACCCCGTCTTCAAGGATGCGCGCGTCACGCTTGCGGCGCGCGCGGAAGACTACGCACTGGGTCGCATCGCGCTGCCACCCATGTGCTCGATGAAGGCCGAGCTCTACGACGCGCCGTTCATCTTGCCGACCGGGCTTCCACAGCGTCGCTGCCGGATCGACGCGAGGTGGCGAAGTACGGACCTCGGATTTCCCTGGGGTCGGATTCTTGAACGGCCGCAGATCGGGCAGCCCGGCTGCGCCGTGATTCTGGCGGGCACTGGCGGGCGGAACGGTATGATATAGTACAGTAGACAGAGTTTTTTTTTGTTGTCTAAGACGATGTACAACTACGGCAAAGAATGTGTTCTATACAAATGCTTGTGTCTTTCAGTGTGGCTGAGTTCGGGGACGGGCGTCACCCAGCGCTTGAGACTTAGCGCCAGCGGTCGTTTGTCTCTCAAGACTCTCAACCTCTATCCTACTCTCAACACGCTCTACCACGTCTCTCTGCTTTCTTCGCCATGTCTCGACCCGATCCTCGCGTTCTTCAACTACTCGCGCCTCGCCTACCGTCGTTCGGAGCTGCTGCTCACCACTCGCGGCAATGCGTGGTGGGACCGGAGATCGCACACGTTACGGTCGTGTGTCTGGAGAGGACGAACTTCGGGCGATTGTTCGATTATGTGCGTGGTCTGTTCTCTTGTGCGCGCGTCGACTAACTGGCCATGTTGCCACATTCAACTAGTGCGCTACGTTCGACCCGTCTACGTGCACCACTCGCCTCAGTAACGTCCAGGGAAATCGGGCGGAGATCAAGCTTGCGCTCAAGGAAATCCTCGCGCTGAGCCCGCCCGCCAAACTAGGAGGGTGGGTCCTGCTGGGGTCGATGATCGAGACCCACCTGGGTGCTCTGATTCCCCCGTGTCTGCGTGCGCCGGGTCGGAAGGTGGTGGTGGACACCGTTATTTTTGCCAAGGTGAGTAAATGTTACGCCCATCTGGCGGCTCTGTATCTCGGGGACTTACCGCGCCCTAGGACTCGCACGACCCGGTGTCGCTCCCGCTTATCTGGGAGGAGCTGGGCAATGAGATCGAGCTGTCGTTCAACCAGCCGCTGACTGTACAGTTTTTCCGCGGGCTAAACGAATGGAAGGGCGTCGCGCAAGGGGGCCGCACCACTTTCGACTTTTACAATGTGTACTCGAACACGTTCATCCCTACCGCTGTGAACGGCACGCAAATTCCGTTCCGCCTTCCCTTCCCCCTCCCACACATCCCCGTCTTCAAGGAGTCGTCAGTGACGGTGGCTCGCCATGCGGAACGGTACAGCTTCGGTACCCAACGCATCTACCCCTTCGACTCCATGAAGATGACCTTCATGCCGGTGGATTTCGACATCGTCTGGCCCGTGGACGTCCCGCAAGGCCGCGAGTATCTGCATGCCGAATGGCGTGTTGAGTGTTGGGGCGCCCCTGAAGGCATAGTGGCCATACGGCCTCTCATCGGCGATGACGGCTGCGAGGTGAGACGGGTCGGTGGTCCCGTTCCCGAGGAGGTGGTTGCGGGGCGAGATGTCGGAGAGATCAATGCGCCGGCGACGGAGGACGATTCCGAGGTGGAAATATGGGAGATTACTGAGGATGGTAATATTCCCATTGTTCCTGAGGTTTGGGAAGTCGTGCGGGGCACCGGTGAGGAAATACCGTACTATGTGTAGTACATTTGACGTATGATACATGCCTTGGTTCTGTTTTGTAATTTTACTCCGAGTCCTACATGTAAAATTTGAATGCGATGTTGTATGGGAATTACCCTGGCAGTCATAGTGGGAAAATAATTGTGTTGTGGGGCCTTGACCCAGGATGCGCTCGAGACTTCGAATTGCACTGAACAATTGGAACTTCTCTCAAGTGATAAATTGGTCGGTCTGACGGGTTGCTACCTTACCAACGGTGCTCAGGAGCGCTTTTGCGCGTGTGATATTGGTCAAACTGCTTGCAAGTGCTCTGCGACTTCTTTTCCGTTGCAGGCGCTACTTTTGCAAAAGCTCAACCGCTTGCGGACACAAGGGGTTTTTCCTGATGTGCGTTGTCTACCCCGTGAGTGGTTCCCACGGTTCGATGAACCTCAGCATTGTAACATCATTCTTCAGCCATGCCGAAGTCGTGCCCGACCGGCCACACACGTATTCAATCAACCGGTATCTATTTGGGCAAATCATCCTATCGGTCACCTACGAGAGCAGCGAATGGTCCGCTGAGATGCCCAGGACCGATGCCAGGCTGGAGAGTATTATGTTGCTGTTTGATATGGTGGAGGCAAGGGATGGGATGTTAGTGTGCTGAGCCTTCCGTCACAAACGTAGTCGTATTTGTTCCTGCTGTCATGCTTTCAATTGCTGTTCTTAACCGACTCCATCCCCTCCACTGGGCATGAGACATTGCAGCATGCATTCCCGGTCAATTGCATCGTGCATGCGAACATTTGAATGGCACTGACAGTCCCTCTAAGATGAAGCATTCAGATGGCAGCCCGAAATTAGGTTGACCGAGCCCGGCCCGAGACTTCGGAAAGTTGCTCGGGCCGAGAGTTCGCAAACTTGCCCGGGCCGAGATATCGGTAAAGTGCGCGGCCCGAGGATTTGGAAAACTCCTCGGGCCGAGAGTATTGGAGGTAGATTGCATCATGCATGCGAACATCTGAATGGCACTGACAGTCCCTCTAAGATGGAGCATGGAGATTGCAAGCCGAAATCAGGTTGACCGAGCCCGGCCCGAGACTTCGGAAAACTGCTCGGGCCGAGAGTTCGCAAACTTGCCCGGGGCGAGATTTCGGTGCAGTGCTCGGCCCGAGACTTTGGAAAACTGCTCGGGCCGAGAGTTTTGAAAATGCTCGGGCCGAGAGTTCGGAAAGCTGCTCGGGCCGAGAGTTCGGGAAAGTGCTCGGGCCGAGAGTTGGCGACATTTCTCGGGCCGAGAGTTTGGAACACTGCTCGGACCGAGTGTTTGGTGTACTGCTGGGGCCGAGTGTGGGTACAACCGCTCGGCCCGATCGTATGGCAGCTGGCTCGGTCCGAGGTTTGTGAGATCGTGAGGGCCGAGTGGCTGGTGAAGTGCTCGGGCCGGGAGTTAACAAAGGTTGTCGGGCTCGGGGCTGGCACCATGACATCTCAAATCTCGGTAGATTACTCGGGGCATATCGCCTTTGTAAACACAATGGGAATACAATCGACGAGCTACTGACTGAGTATCCTACTACACTTGATACTATCAAGCCATGAGATTTGGCTCCAGGTACAGATCCCGCCATGCCACTTTCGCATCTTCACGCAGGCGATCGAACAGTGCCGCTTGTGCTCGGCAGTGCTGGGAAAATCCAGGGTACTCGGCATCGGTGTTATTGGTCGCTAATTCTCGCCACCGGCATGCTTCGTGGTCAAAGTATCGGCACACGGAGTCAAGCTCCCTGCGCAATATGGCGGCTTCTTCCTCCAATCTGTCAACCTTTGAACGGGCATGGAACCACTGTACCCTGTGAACTATGCGCGATGTCAGCGAGTTATTCAATGTACCACTGCCATCTCACGTACTGATTCCCAACTCGTCATTGCTCCGTATGTCGCCACCGACGTTAACATTCCATATCCACGAGGGGGATTTGTGCCGTTGGCCGGCCTTGTTGGGCTCGGCAATTGCAGTTACTGTCTTTAGATCATCTGGGGTGAGCTGCTGATATTTAGCTTGATCCTCTGCAGACAGGCCGAGCACTTGCATCGCCGCTCGGGCCCGGCGATAGATTGCGGCTTGAAGCTGTACAGCTCGGTCGAGTTTACCCAACTTGGTGAAGGATCGGGTGCGCTTCTTGTTGCCATCTTTCCTCCCGTGCCGAATGGTTGTCTGGAACTCAAACGATTTCTTACCGATGAGAATCCGAAGCTGCTGCAAGGCATCATTTGCTTGTCCGCGCCGCAGAGTGAGCTCGTGCGCGGCCAAACGTTGCAATCCATTGGCGGTTAGAGCATTCCGCGTGAAATTCGAAGGTAGCCCGAGTTTCGTATGTTCCGCCGCCTTCACTGGGTATGGTGCGGGCGGTTTACTGGGAAAGATGGACCATGGATTGTCGGCATGTGCTGGGGGATCGTTGGGATCTTCTTCCCACTCCGCAGCCGAGTCGTCATCCACTGCTTCCTCCTCTGCCACGCCCCAGTCATGCCTTCGGTGAATTGCAGCCGCTCGCCGGTGGAACCGCCGGATCTGACTCTCGAGAGGCTTCCTCCGTTTGGCCAGCTTTAACTCTTGAGCCCCCGTCACAATGGCCCCCATTTGCTTTATGTCTTTCTGGATTGCGAGTCTGCGGGGTGATCAGAAGTAACCCGGAAAAGGCGGTCAAGGCACTGACTGTTGCTCTTTAAGCTTAAGGCCATCGGCAATCCAGTCCGCTGTGCCAACGCGGTCCCCGCCGTCACCCTCTTCTTCTGCCAGCTTAATCTGAAGTTCGAGCCGCGAAGGCACTGTCACCAAATCAGCCCTGAGCTCGGCATGGAGAGCAGAGTGTACCAACTAATTTGTTTCTTCGCTTGATACCTGTCCATTACCTTCACATCCCGAAGCCTTCGTCGTTGTACTATCCTGAGTTCCCTTCTCCACTCTCCCAAAATCTCGGCATCGACACTGGCCTCCTTCGCGGTGAGGTCGGCCTTCATGTCGGCCAGCAGTGGCCGATTGGCTTTGATTTTTCTTCTCAGCGAAGCCACTGTCCTCCGTCAGCCCAATGTGTCATGCCACAATCAGCCAGACCATACCCATGGTGATCATCTTCTTCCAATTCCAATTGTTCATGTGCCGGTCGAGGGTTTCCTGCCGGTGGGATGTTGACATTGAGCGGGTACTACCCGACACGGGATTGATCCCCGACCATTGGGTTTCGATGATCTCGCCGTCAGCCTCCCCGGCCCCCTCGGTGAAGGTGAGAGAGTGCCGGAGCTCGCACTCCGCCTTGTGACCGTGAATGTGAAAGAGGCCAATGCACTTGTATAGGACGAGGCCCCCGGCATTTGAAGATAAGGATTGTCGTCAAATCGGTCATGGAGATGGACGTGGTACTGGCACATGATGTCGTATGATACATAGACGTGCCCAATACCTCTCGAGCGGTAGCCGAGAGCATTGGACAGGGAGTAGTCCATGTTCATCTGACGTTCGCCCTTCTGATAGTTCACTACCGAGTGCGGAAGGAAGCACCCGTGCCTCAAACAAGATGTTGCGCCGATCCCGGTGACAGCGAGCTTATGCCGGTCGGCGTTGGCCTGGGAGACCGCCTTGTGGTCGTTGCAGCTTGAGTGCTGTGGATGTGTTAGCCACACGTTCGTATGCCGGCTGTATACACCCTCACCATCTTCACGTCCTTCGCTACTCTCAGGTGCTCCTCGTATGGGCCGGGATGAACCATGAACATTTTCCCCGGCATCAACGGTACGTCGTTCTCGGGCTTGCGCATTTTCATTTGCTCGGCGTGGAAGTTCCCATCCATGACATATCCTCGGGCATATAGGTACCTCCAAAACAGTTCAGCTGGCGTATACCGGTGAACAGGGTAACTACTTACTTCCTATCATCCACCTCCCAGTCCGCGGGTATGTTCACTCCGGGCTGCGGACATGCCGGGCAAAAGTGAGCAAGGTCTCCGTTGCCCGGGGCCTCTCGCCATTGCGGCCCGTATCCAAACTGTTTCTTTGCCTGGAGCAACGCCCATTCGCGGCTCACTCTAAGCAGCTCAAGGTATCGATCCTAATTCCATATCAATCATGTGCATTTGCTGGTATGCTGGACACTCACTCACCGGTACTTCATGGGGAAAAGCCGGATTGGTGGCCCGTCGAATCCGTGCGTAGTAATTCATGGCGGTAGTCTTACACTCCAGGTTGTCCAGCAGGAAACCGTCAAGTGCCCCAAAGGTGAAGCACGTACGAGCCTTGCGCTGGCTCGCCGGATACAACCCGGCATCGAGAAGCTGCGATGTATGGTCACCGGCGTCGGGACAGCCGCACCACGTCACCGGGAGGAAATGCACCCCGGTGGTGTCAACAATAGTCATCATTGCGGGCGGGGGACGCGGAGGTGAATCGGCGTGGTGAAGAGGGTCCGCTGGTACGTCGCCATCATCGTCGGCCGCGCGATCGGTCGCCCGGTCCATCTCCACTTCCTCGTCATCCTCCACGACAACCGCCGGCTGGGGGCATTCTCTGCCCCGGTGGCCGAGAGTGATTGAAACTCCAACTTGACGCAGCCATGAGGGCTCCCAGTATCCTCCGAGGTTCCACTGCTCAACCCGGTGGAATGGTGTCCGCCGGTGCTCGGCGAGACAGCAGGTTGGGCAGAAAGTTGGATAACCAATGCACGACATGCACTTCCATACGCCGCCGCCACTGTTGCAGCTCGAGCACATATAGCTCCCCTCGGCACTGAGCGCGGGAGGCTTGTAGTGGGCGTACAACGATCGGAGGTAGTTGTGCTGGAGGGGAATCCACTCTCTAAGCATCTCAGGTTGTGTCTGATTGAATTGGTGAGGATCTGTCTACATACAACATGGGCACTTGGTATACCTGCGGGGCACTCTGTCGAACTGTGGGGAACTCGCAGAAAGTCGTGTTGGCAACATCATCGGTTGGTGGCGTCCAGCTGGACTGTCTTGTTGTCGACCGAGCGGTTCGATGGGGTGTAGCCGGCGGAGTCTGCAACCCGCTATTCTGCACCTCGACAAGCCGTGACCTCATTCCCCTTGCAGTCCTTCTTTCGTCAGTGTGAGTTCTACCACTGCAGGAGAGGTTGCCGTTGGCCGCAGTCGACCCATGGTGTTACCAGAGCAATCAACAGCTCAGCAGTTTGACGACGGCAGAGTTCAGCTCTGTATTGCCATTGCTGACGTCAAAACTCCTGCAACCATTGCGATTGCAACTAGTGCAGCAGTATGCAGCGGGCCGGCCGCACGTGTTCCGGGTATGGTGCGGCCGGGGCCGGGATCACCGACGTGGAGTCGCTAATTGTTGCAGTTCGTCGTAAATCAGACAGCATTTAGGATTCCATGATGGTTCTCATGAGAATGGGGCGCGTAATGGCCCGGCCGGACATTAGTCAGTTGCGTATATAATGATGCGGCCGGCAAGATGTCGATCACAACGGTCCGGCCCGCCTGCCGGGTCACGTGTCCGGTGCGCTGCGTTTCATCCAGTTAGACGAGGTGCCAGAAGCATTTCCTGGATGCTATGTTGGAGCCAGATCGGTTTCAGCCTGCCCTGGCTTCCCGGTCGGGACGGCCGGTGATGGGCCTTGTCTTAACCTGGTAACCGGAGTCAGTGACCGGACCCGGCGGCGAGCGGGATCTGCGATGCGGCGAGTACCATGGAACTGGAGAGCTAACAAGTCACACCTTGGTGACTCGCTGGAATCCAATGTGGGTTCGTCCGTGATGCTCCGGCCGGCACGCACCCATTCTGCGCGGCCGGGGAGCCAAGACAACAGAATTGTGGTGATTAGGAAATAATGAAATCAATGCAATGTTATGACTGAAGGTAGTATTTTGGTGAACCCGAGTACAGCTGGTTATGTAAGCTCAGAGTCCAAGGGTTGTGGCGAACAAGGTGGGGGGTGTCACCGAATCGGTCACCCCGAGGCTACCAAACTCTTGCCGTCAACATCTTCGTCAAGAAATCACAGCTTGCTTACGCTGCACCCTGACCTCGTCACCGCACTCGCAATGGGGAAAGTCACCTGGAATGAACAGGACCTCGTGATCCTCAACAGCAATCTGGAGGACTATCAGCAGGCTACCGAGGATCTACAGCGGCGTCAGGAGCTCGTCGAGAACAGCATTGAACGGCTCCAAACGCGGAGGGGGATTCAGTTCGATGCAGCTCTACGAAAGGTACACATTCTACATACTTGATGTGACAGTTAGGGATGACCTCCGGCAGCGCGTCGAGAAATGGTACTCCAACCGAAGAGCATCAAAGGAACAGGTGAAGAAGGAGATGTTCAAGCTCGGCAAGGACATAACGTGGAGGACGGTGGCCGCGCGGGACCGGGAAGATGAGCTCGGGGAGATCATGTCTAGGATTGGTCGGGAGCGGGGGAAGGATGGGTCGGATGAGGAGGAGGATGACGACGAGGGCGAGGAAAGGGAGGAGAAAGAAGACAAGGGAATGGCGAGTCGCCGGATCCCGGGCATCTACCAAACCGCATTGAAGGAACTGTGCGACAATCTGTCGCCGGAGGACCAGGCCGAGTACATGCAGGTAGCCTCCGATTGGAACACCCAGGTCTGGCCAGCGGACCTTCAACGGAAGCAGCTAGAAAGGCATGGTGCCAACATGATCAGGGACTTCATGAAGATCATGTGGAGGAAGTGCGGCGCGAGGTGCTTCCTGCTGTTGGGGATCCCGATGGATAACGGGGCCAGTGGTGTGTTGGAGTACGTGTGCCGACCTTAACACATTGGTGTAGTTATTAAAAGATCAAACCAGGTTCGACTTCAACGACGAGATGTTGTTGAGGAAGGCGCCCCTAAGGTGCCGAAGTTCACTGCGAGCGAGCCCGAGTTCAAAACCGGTCTGATGTATGGGATGTGGAAGAAGTACATTGACATCGCCTTCGGTATGTGAAATGCTTGGGCGACGCGTACGAGGCTTGAATCATGAGCGACCAGATGCGCATGGATTTGAAGACGAAGCCGATCACGGCCCAGCATCTCTGATCGAGAATATGGACTGGGAGGAGGATGAGGATGGGTACCCACTGATGCCGGAGCCCGACCACGACTGCTTCAAGAAGACGAAGCTCAAGAGGCAATTTCTGGCGACCTTTGTTCGGAAGACATATGGTGCGTGTGTCCGGGATCCTACACCGATTCTGTTTGCGTCCGGTATTGACACGCATTCCATATTGCCATTGCATCCACAGTTAATTTCACCGGACGATCAACAGTCAAAGTGCCCTGGCAATCGCTGTCCGAATTGTCCGACTCCTTCATAGATCCCGAGTACCTCCCTGCCGGCAGCGTCCTGAGTGACCCGAACAAGATGCGCACCGGGGACCTTGACGCCATCCTCACCCACTGGCGCGAAAGGCAAAACGAGCACCCACAGG